AAAAAAAACCTCAATAAACATTAGACATTTGCATTATTAAATTCCCAGTGATATTTATCCCTTCACCTATATTTAAGGATTTTTTTTAACAAATTAGGCAAATCTTGGACCACTAAAATAATATTTGAGAGAAAGTAATTTGGTTTCATCTGCTTAAGCCTGGCTGCTGGTTACTGAAAGTCTCATGAAAATAACATCTGGCCCTAGTTCTTAATTTCCAGCCTTAGGCTTAATTTCTAGTCCCCATCAGCAACAATCTGGCACCATTCTGATGTCCTCACACAGCTGCATTTGAGGAAAGGTCGTATTTCAGCTTACGCGATTTTTTTTTTCTTTTTTGGCTGCTGCTGTTATTACAAGAGCTAAATTGATATGTAGCTCTGGGACCATAAAATTTCTCTTTTGCCTGGTTTCTCTTCTTTCCTTAATGCAGGTGAAGCAAAAGCCATATGCCCTCTTTAGGGCTTAAAGCAATTAATTGTCTGTAGTGACCACCCAAAATATCATTTCAAACCTCCTCAGACTTCCTTTGAGTTTTAGTGCAACATGCCCCACCTGATACCAAAATTGTTGTCACAAATTTATTTTCTCAGAAATCCCAGATTCATAAGTCAAAAGCAAAACATACAGTTAGTTAGATATAATGTACATAATGACGTGCTTGTCAGTGCTGCTAATGGGAATCAATATTCATGAGCAGTACTTGGTCCCATGTGCTAAATAAACTCTAATTAGGAGTATACCATGTTGGTGTTCACGTCAGAACTCAGATCAGTCAGTTCATCTGTAAGGAGAAACCAACAAGTAGTGTGGAGCTCTGCAGTGTCACAGCTCGTTATCATAAGAAATTGAAGAAATCAGAGAGTCAAGCAGCTACATACCGTCAGAGCCTGGTTTAGAGATGTGTTGAGTCTGTACACTGGTTGTCAACTCTGTGACTCCACTATTTTTCTTGGGTTCACTGGGTGCCTAAGCATGCCAATAACTTCCCATATTTCACTTCATTTTGTCCTCACCTCAGTCCTGGCTGGTATATTTGATCCCCCTGTAAAATTGAGAACTGAGACTCAGAGAGATGATCAAACTGCCCAAGATCACATTAAGTATCAAGTAGCCATACTGGGGTTGAAACCCAAGAATGTCTGACTGCAGGCTGCTGCTAAGTACCTGCTTCCATTGTTATTACTGTTACTGTAATTCAAGTTTCTCCCGGCTCTCAAAGTGTGAAATTATAAGGGATGGTCTGTAGATTTGTACATAAAATATCCATCGTTGCCTGTGTTGTGTGTACGTGAATGTGTGTGTGCTTCAGGAAGGATGGGGAGTATTGCAGCAGTATAATACAGGCCACATGTGTAATTTTAAATATTCTAGTAGCCACATTAAAAAAGTAAAAAGCAACAGGTAAAATTAATTTTAGCAATATATTGTATCTAATCCAGTATATCCAAAATACTGTTATTTCAACATATAATCAATATAAAACTCATTAGTGAGATATTTTACATAATTTTTTTGCTAAGTTTTCAAAATCCAGTATATATTTCACACATACAGCGATCTCTATTTTTCAGACAACCCCCATTTTGAATGCTCTAAAGTCACTTG